TGTTTTAGAATTTCATATAAAAGGAACCATACAGCACATACACTTTTGTGTCTGGCTTCTTTGCTTAAAATAAAGTTTTTAAGATGTACCCATGTTGCATGCATCAGTAGTTTGCTCCTTTTTATTGCTTTAGTAGTATGCTATGAATGCACTGCAATTTATTTATTCATTCATCTCTTGTTGAACATTTGGGCTGTTTCCAGGTTTTTGCCATTATTATTTTTTTAAAACTGCTGTGATCATTCATATACATATCTTTTTGTGGACACATGTTTTCATTTATCTCGGGTAAATAACCTGGGTATGGTATTGCTGAGTCATAACATAAAAGTATATTAACTTTATAAGAAACTGACAAACCATTTTTCCATTGTTATTTCAAGTGGTTTTACCATTCCACACTCCCACCAGCAAAGTAAAAAAGCTCCAATTGTTCCACATCCTCTTCAACACTTACTATTGTCAGTCATCCTAATTTTAGCCATTTCAGAGTGTTTATAGTAGTATCTCATTGTGTTTTGAATTTGCATTTCCCTGACAACTAATGATGTTAAGAATATTTTCATGTGCTTCTTGGCTATGTCTTCTTTTATGAAGGGCCTACTTATATCCTTTGCCCAGTTTTTTATCGGGCTGCCACCTTCTTACTAAGTTGTAAGAGTTACTTATATATTTTGAATGCAAGTCCCCTGTCAGATACACATATTGTAAATTATTTCTCCTAGTCTGTGACTTACCTTTTCATTTTAATAGAGTCTTTCGAAAGACAGAAAAGTTTTTAATTTTGACAAAGTATAACTTATTCTTTTTTTCCTTTTATGATTACTATTTTTGTATCCCAAAATATCTTTGCCTACTCCAAAGCTATAGCGATATTATCCTATGTTTTCTTCCACAAGTTTTATAGTTTTAGCTTTTACATATAGGTCCTTATTTCAAGTTCTCTGTCTCTCTCTCTCTCTCTCTCTCTCTCTCTCTCTCTCTCTCTTTTTTTCCGCATAGTTTGAGGTAAGGATTGAAATTCATTATTTTCCTTACGGATTTCTACCTAGCTTTTCCTAAACCATTTGTTGAAAAGACTACCATTTCTCCCATCGTATTATCCTAGCACTTTCCTTGAAAATCAATTGTTTATATATGTTAGGGTCTTTTTCTGTGCTGTCTACTCTGTTCTATTGAATTATGTCTATTCTTAATGCCAATTCCAGCAATACACTTCAAAATATCCCAAGAGTCAAAGATAAATCCATGGAAATTAGAATGTATTTTAACTGAATAAGTAAAATACAACATATTAAAATTTGTGGAACACAACCCAAACAACAAAGTATAAGATTTGCAGAAACCTAATGTTGACCAAAAGACACCAAACACAAAGTATGAGTGATTTCATTTACATAAAACTCACCAAATAGGAAATGGAAATCAGTGTTTAGAGATGCATGCTGTAGCACCTGCATGCTGTAGCAGGTGTTGTTGGTGCCCCGTCGCATCCCCTTCACCTGCTCAGTGCACCTATCCCCTGGCTTCTGTGAGTATTGACTGCTAATAGCTTCACAGCAACACTTTTCACCTGAGAATTGCCCTCCACCTCCAGGAAGCTGCCTTACCTGGCATCCTGCAGCCAATGACTGACAGATAGGGGAATACAGATTTATTTTCAGTCTCCTGCCTCTAGGTGGGACAACTCAGTGGGGGCATTCTTGCTCCAGAGCTCCCCTGGAGATCAGATTAGGGCTAGACCTCAGCTGAACCCACATTTTGAACTAGCTGTTTCTCCTCTTCTAACGTGCCGTCCAGTGCCGTCCTTACTCCCTTACAGAACTCACCTGAGGGCGCTCCCTCACCAAATCACTTGAACAAGAACTGCAATCCCAAACTCTGCTGCTGGGGGACCAATCCTAAACTAGTTGGTTCTAGAAGTGGTCCTTAAAAGTAGATTTTAAAGATGGGATTCTGGAGTTGAATATCAGATGGCAATGAAGACCCCATCGTCAATGGTAGGAGTAGCTACAGTCCCTGTGGTAAACTGGGCCAAGATTAAGGTGGAAGGAATACACTGGCTTTTGAAATGCCCCTGGTATGGGAGAAGTTCAGGTAAATAGTAACTATGAAGATTGTGAAATTGGGTGGCCATTGCTTAGAACCACTGATATGTTAAAGAGAGAAAATGACAAGCTCATATCAATTAATCACCAATTTAAAACAAAGTCAGTCAGAGGCTGGCTTCCTTAGCAGGATTTAAAGAGGACCTGATCTCCTGTAGCTAGAGGGCACTCTCCATAAAAGTGGAAGAATTTCAGAGGAGGAATTCTTAGCCTAGGTAAGTTGCTTATGCCAAAATCAGGGCCATGATAAGGAAGATACGGGACCCTGAGGCTGAGCAAATGTGATCGAGACCCCTGAACTTCCAGTTTCCCCTGAACCCGCTGGACGTAGGCTTCATATAAGAAGGTACCTTACAAGACAACATTATTAGCCTGTCTCAGAATCTGCCCTCACCTCCCCTCCTGGCCATCAGATCAATCACTAGAGTCAATTCTCAAGATGACCCAACTGAGGAAGTGCTGGGGCTGCTGAGAGAAGAGAGAGACTGATATGCCAAGACCACTGCAGGACCCCACTGATGTGGACTGGCAAGGCCTGGGGCATTTGCCTGTGGGCGGCATGGGGATCAAGTGGGGTAGAATGTAAAGCTGAATGGAAGAGGCTTTGTCAATGTGGGGGCGCTCTCATGACACGAGATTTAATACCTGGTATGCACCCTAGGAGACTGATTTAATCTGCTGCTAGGAAGGCTCTTGAAAGTTTGGTAAAAGTGGTGGCCCACATTAGATGAAGTAGAGTGTCTGAGATGCTGTGGCAGACTATGGAGAAAGGCCTGAAAAGGATCAGAGAGTGAGCATGCTAGAATGAATCACCTCTTAAATACCAGAAAACCCACCAGCTGACTCTGTCCCTCAGGAGGGCCTAGAGGCTTTGCCAATGCATTCTAATAAATGAGCACCAGCATTATTTTTTTCAGTTTTTTTTTTTTAAGTTTTGTGGGCACATAGTAAGTGTGTATGTTTATGGGGCACATGAGATGTTTTGATAAAGATATCATGTGAAATAAGCACAGCCTAAAGAATGGGGTATCCATTCCCTCAAGCATTTATCCATGCGTTGCAAGCAGTTCAATTACACTCTTTACGTTTCTGCTTTTTTGTTTTTGTTTTTGTTTTTGTTTTTGTTTTTTTGAGACAGAGTCTCGCTCTGTTGCCCAGGCTGGAGTGCAATGGCATGCTGTCAGCTCACTGCAACTTCTGCCACCCGGACCCAAGCGATTCTCCTGCCTCAGCCTCCTGAGTAACTGGGATTACAGGTGCCCACTGCCATGCCCGGCTAACTTTTGTATTTTTAGTAGAGACAGGGTTTCACCATGTTAGCCAGGCTGGTCTTGAACTCCTGACCTCAGGTGATCCACCCACCTCAGCCTCCCAAAGTGTTGGGATTACGGGCATGAGCCACCATGCCCGGCCAGGTGTCCTTTTTAAGAGTGCAAGGTCATGGACCATCCAGGCCATTTCTTCCAAAGTAGAGGCTATGTTATCGTACCTTGCACCATCGCCACCATTAAGAAAGACAATGCCTTATAGGCCTCTTCATTTCCAAGTGACATAAAGCTCTTACAGCTTTGAATGGAGCCCAGAGCAGTAAAGCGCTCTGCAGCAAGTCCATGCTGTGGTACAAGCAGCTCTGCAATTTGGGCCACATACCAGCAACCCTGGTGGCAGTTAGAAGTATCTGTGGTGGGAAAAGATGGCTTTTGGAATTTATGGCAAGTTCTAGTAGGAGAATCACAATGTTGATACCTAGGGTTTGGGAACAAGGCCATTCTACCTGCAGCAGAGAATTATATGCCATTTGAAAAGCAGCTTGGGATGCTACTAGAGTAGATACACAGGAAGAAGTTGAGTAACTGACAATGGGACATCAACTGACCATTAAACTTGATCTGCCCATTATAAGCTAAGCAGTATCAGACCTTCCAAGTCATGAGATTGGGTGGGCGCAACAATCCATTGCAAGATGGAAGGAATGCAGTCTGGCTGAGGCATGAGCAGTGACAGAGGACACAAGCAGCAACTGCAGGAGCGCAGGGCCCAGACTCCTCCATCATCCACCACTACTACACTAATACTTCACCTTCAGTTCAACTCGTGGCTGCGTGGTGGGCTATTCTTGAAGACAGCCGACAGAGAATAAAGCCTGAGCTTCCTTGACAGATGTCATCTTAGTATGTGGATGCAAGCCAAAAATGGAATGCTGCAGTCCTGCGGTCCTGCATTCCCACTAGGGGACGACCTTGAAAGAGTAGTAAAGGGAACCGGGTGTGGTGGCTCATGCCTATAATCCCAGCACTTTTGGAGGCCAAGGCGGTGGATCGCCTGAGCTCGGGAGTTCAAGACCACCCTGGGCAACATGGTGAAACCCAGTCTCTTCTAAAATACAAAAAAAAATAGCTGGGCATGGTGGCACGTGCCTGTAGTCCCAGCTACTCATGAGGCTGAGGCACAAGAATTGCTTGAGCACTGGAAGCAGAGGTTGCAATGAGCCAAGATGGTGCCACAGCACTCCAGCCTGGGTAACAGAGTGAGACTCCGTCTCAAAAAAAAAAGAGAGAGGCCGGGCGCGGTGGCTCAAGCCTGTAATCCCAGCACTTTGGGAGGCCGAGGCGGGTGGATCACGAGGTCAGGAGATCAAGACCATCCTGGCTAACACGGTGAAACCCCGTCTCTACTAAAAAAATACAAAAAACTAGCCGGGCGAGGTGGTGGGCACCTGTAGTCCCAGCTACTCAGGAGGCTGAGGCAGGAGAATGGCGTAAACCCGGGAGGCAGAGCTTGCAGTGAGCTGAGATCTGGCCACTGCACTCCAGCCTGGGCCACAGAGCGAGACTCCGTCTCAAAAAAAAAAGAGAGAGAAAGAAAAGAAAAAGAAAGAGTAGTAAAGGGAAATCCTCTCAAAGGGCAGAGCTTCTGTCACTGTACATGGTCATTCACTTTATGTGGAAAGAGAACTGACCTAATATCAGAATATATAGAGATCCATGGGCAGGGGTGAGTGGCTTGATTTATTGATCAGGGGCCTGGAACAAGTAAGAGTAGAAGATTGGGGACAGAAATTCTGGGGAAGAGGCATGCGTATGGACCCACAGGAGTCGTTACCAGGTGTAAAGATCTTTGTGTCGCAGTGAACACCAAGCAGAGAACATCCATCGTAGAAGAGGCACCACAACACAAAGTAGAAGAAAATGACTTGGCCAGTTAAAGTCAACTAGCCTCTGTCCATGGCCATCCCAGCACTCAAACAGTGGAGTTATGAATGTAGTAGCTATGGTGGCCATGGTAAATGCTAGACCTGGGCACAGCAGTGTGGGCTCCCACTCACAAAGCTTGATCCAGCTACTGCCACTGCCAAAACAGAGTTCAGCGCTGAGCCTCCAATTTGGCATCAGCATTGAAGGAAACCAACCAGTCATTTCTTGGCAAGTGGATTACATTGGACCCTTTTCAAACCAAAATCTGGAAAGGGCTCAATTCGTTGACAGGACAGATCAATTCGTTTGACATATTCTGGGTGTGAGTTTGATTCTCTTGCCCACAGTGCCTGAGCTAGCCGTACTATCCAAGAGTTCACATACTGTCTGACCCGTCAGCATTGGATCTTCCATAGCATCACAACAGACCACGGGACCCACTTTAAAGCAAAGATGTGTCAGTGGACATAAGACCATGGGATCCACTGGCCCTATCATATACCACACCATCCGGAAGCTGCCAGCCTGATGGATCCGTGGAAGAGTCTTTTGAAGACATAGCTAAGGTATCAACTCAGAGATGACACCCGGCTAGGATTGGGCACTATCCTTCAGGATGTGTGCTATACATATTAAGCCAATGACTGTTATATGATACTATGTCTCCAAAAGGTAAAATGCATGTGTCCAAGAGCTAAAGGTTAGAAGTAGGGATATTCATGCTTACCATTACTTCCAGTGACCCACTTAGGAAATTTGTGCTTCCTGTCCCGCTAACACTAGGCTCTGAGTTTCCAGGGGCCATGGTTTCCAGAGGCAGAACACTTTCACCACAGCACCCACTAAACTTTAAGCTACACCACTGCTAAGAGACCAGCATGAAAAAAAAAAAAAAAAAAAAAAAAGATTTGCTCCCCCAGCAGAGTGAATCTCTCCATATCTGATGATAAGGAGGAGGCAGGGCTGCAGAGACAACTCAGATAGAATCCAAGGGATCCCCTGGGGCACCTTTTGGTGCAGTTTTGATGGTAAATGGGCAAGTGCAGCAGACACAGCCTGAAAAGACCACACGGCCAGGGGCTCAGACTCCTCAAGCTGTGTCTTCCCTGAGGTCAGCAGAGGTGCTAGCTGAGGCTAGGAGCAATCCAGAATAGGGAACAAGGGTTTCCTATCAGATGTGCCCTGGGACAACTGTGCTAATGGGGCTGTAATTTGTCCTGTTAGGAAACTTCCCATTTTAAAGCTTCTCCAAGAAAAGAGATAACCAGAATCCTGAAAAGGCTGTTTAAGGATGGGATGAAATTATTATATGAAGCGAATGGATCAAAGCAGTGCAAGGGTTAAACTGCATGGATACTGTGGCTGCACCCAGGTCACTACCCCAGGGCTGCTCCCTCCCCCAGCTGCTGGGATTCTTGTACTCGAGGACTCATAGTTGAGGTCTTTCAAAGGCATTGCCCTCAGCAAAAGCAGCTGCCTCACTCAACTTCACAGACCCTCAATTCATAATACCTAAATACCAGTTCAGGTACTTTTCATGGCCCCTTTGCTCAATTCAGGATAACGGGAAGGTGATCCCAGGCTGAGAACTCCCCATGGCTCTGGCTGAGGCTCCTGATATGTCTTATCGCAATTCACATCTCTCTGCCCGATGCGGCCCCTCTCTCCCTTACAGATAATGCTCCTATGCTTCCTTAGAGAGCCACCTGCACAAATCTCCATCGTTGTTTCCCAGAGAACCCGATGGATAGCAATGGACATTTACAGACAGGAAGGTAACCACCAGAAAAAAAAAAAAAAAAAAAAGTTGAAAAACTTAAAAGTTGTTTTCCCTAGGGAGAAGTGTAGGGGTGAAGTAAGGTAGAACAGGGGACTATTGTTATACAGCCCTTCTATATGCATTGTTTTTAACATGCACATATTACTTCCATCATTAAAACTTTTTTTGTTTTGGCCAGGGGTGGTGGCTCATGCCGGTAATCCCAGCAATTTGGGAGGCCAAGGTGGGCAGATCGCTTGAGCTCAGGAGTTCGAAATCAGCCTGGGCAACATGGTGAAACTCTATCTCTACCAAAAATACAAAAATTAGTTGGGCATGGAGGTGGGCACCTGCAATTCCAGCTACCTGGGAGGATGAGACAGGAGGATCCCTTGAGCCCAGCACAGGGAGGTTGCAGTGAGCCAAGATCGCATGATTGCATTCCAGCCTGAGCAACAGAGTGAGACTTCATCTGTTGGATGAAGTTGGAAAAAAACAACTTTTTCCATTTGAATATTGCAAGAATTTGATACTGTCACTATTTGAATACTTCCTACAGCCCTAAGAAAATCCTTAAGAACCCCTAACATAGCTTGCAAATCCCTTCCCATCTGGCCCCTGCTGAGTTTCCTACCTCTCTCTCTCTCTCTTTTTTTTTTTTTTTTACAGGGTCTCACTTTATCGCCCAGGCTGGAGTGTAGTGGCATAATCATAGCTGACTGCAGCCTCAACCTCCTGAGCTCAAGTGATCCTCTCACTTCAGCCTCCCAAGTAAGCGAGGCTACAGGTGAGCACCATCACACCTGGCTAATTTTTTGGTTTGGTTTTTTTTTTTTTTTTTGTAGAGATAGGGTTTCACCATGTTGCTCAGGCTGGTCTTGAACTCCTGGCCTCAAGCAATCTGCCTGCTTTGGCCTCCAAAAGTACCACATCGGTGAATTTCCTGTATCATTTCTTACATTCCTCGTTCTCCCTGTTACCTGCTGTTCTGGACTTTCCATTTCTCTTCCTCATCTCTGGGCTTCAAACATGCTGCTCCCTCTGTCTGGAACGCTTTCCACTCCACCTGGTTCATTGCTGTTCCTCCATCAAACTTCAGCTTAGATGTCACCTGCTCAGGGGGACCTTCTCTTCCCCACCCCACCCCAGACTATCTTAGTTCCCTTCTATCACTCCTACAGCACCTGAATGTCTTCTTTCTTAGCATCAATCTCCTGAAGTTATCTGGGGGTTTTTTTAGAGCTGGAGTCTCATTATGTTGCCTAAGTTGGAATGCAGTGGCTATTCACAGGCACAATCACACTCACTACAGTCTTGAACCCCTGGGCTCAAGCAATCCTCCTGCCTCAGCCTCCTGAGTAGCTGGAAATACAGGGGTACACCATCATGCGGGGCATGGTTATTGGTTGTGAAATTATCTGTTTAATCTCCACATTTCCTTTTTTATACAAGAGGACTACTTATCTTGTTACTCCTGTATTACTAGCACCCAGCATATAACTACAGTACAGTAGACAGAAAATGTGTATTAAGTAAGTGAATTTCATCAAAATGATTTCTAGAGTCCCAGCTCTATAATCTGCAACTTAGATAACCTGCCTGAGCCTTAGTTTACTCAAGTATAAAATGGAAATAAAAATAAAAATAATACTTAACTTTGAGGGTTGTTTTGAGGATTAAATATGTCAGAAAAGCTCTTAGAACAGTGCTTGGATATAGTAAGCATTTGATTGACACGTGCTTAAACATAAAGAAAAGTTACATCAATTCACACTCATACCAGCAGACTTTGACACTATCACTCCCTGTTCAACATTGAGTCTTGTGTTTTTAAATATTTTTGTAAAATTATAGGCAAAAAAATGGCATCTTACAGATTTAAGTCAACATATATTTTCAAGCCAACAAGTTTTGTTTATAAGATGGCTGCACCCTGCTGCTCCGTGCCAGACCCACCATAAAGAAAGCAAATGTTCAGTGCATCTCCCTCTTCCTGGCAGAGCCTATAGGGGAAGGAGGACCCCACAATGTGGAGGCATGTTGTATTACCATTACTTTTAATGGCAAAAACTGCAATTACTTTTGTGCCAACCTACTACATGGTCTGGACAGCTAAATGTCATGCATTTTTCATGGCCCCTCCAGGTTTTGTCAGAGTCCTCTTGTTTGACCTTCTAGGAAGGCTGTGGGACCCAGCTTTCTTCAACCAATCCAGGTGGAGGCCTCTGCCTTGAACGTTTCCAAGTGAGGTAAAACCCGCAGGCCCAGAGGCCCCTCTACTTCCTGTGTGGGGCTCAGAAACCCTCCTCCCCTCCCAGCCTCAGGTGCCTGCTTCAGAAAATGGTGAGTCTCTCTCTTATAAAGCCCTCCTTTTTCATCCTAGCATTGGGAACAATGGCCCCAGGGTCCTTATCTCTAGCAGATGTTTTGAAAAAGTCATCTGTTTTGCTTTTTTTCCAGAAGTAGTAAGTTTGCTGGCCTCCGCCATCTTAGTAAAGTAACCGTCCCATGAAAGAAAGATGCAGTCGGGCACTCGCTGGAGAGTTCTGGGCCTCTGCCTCTTATCAAGTGAGTAGGGTGGAGTGGAAAGGGTGGTGTGTCTCCAGACCACTGGAAGGCTTACCTGGCACTGCTCAGTGGCACCAAGGAGCCTCATTTACCAGATGTAAGGAACTGTTTGTGCTATGTTAGGGTGGGGGATTAGAGCTGGGGACTAAAGAAAAAGCTAGGCCACGGGTGCCTGGGAGAGCGTTCGGGGAGCAGGCAAAGAAGAGCAGTTGGGGTGATCATAGCTATTGCGAGCAGAGAGGTCTCGCTACCTCTAAGAACTAGCTCATTCCAACTTACCCAGCTCTCCAGAACTAACCCAAAACAGACTAGAAGAGCGAAGCTCCACTCCTTGTTTTGGGGAGACCCGATATTTGCACCCAAACCCTGCACAGGGCATATATAGCAAGTTCATTGTCTTTGAGACCATAAAACACCTCATAATTTTTAGTCCTTTTCAAGTAACCGACAACTTTCAGTTTATTTAGTTTTTTTGAAGCAAGATGGATTATGAATTGATACATAACCAAGAGCATTTATATATCTCATATGAAATAAATAACACAAAAAAAGTTGCCATTTATTGAGTGTCAGATACTATGTAAAGAAAAAATTACTTAGACGTGTTAACTGGTTTAATCCTACTTCCACCTGGAAAGAAAGGTGTTATATCCTCTTTTTAAAATTCTTTTAAACTTTTACTATATAAACTGATAAGTCCTCTACTTTACAGATTAAGAAACTGATACTCAAAAAAGTTAAATAACTTGTTTTAAAGGACATAGTAAGTGCTGAAGCCGATCTGTGAGACCAGGACTGTTTGTGCTCTAAATGGCTGCACCACATGAGGCAAAATGGCTCGTGATGGTTTTATTTCAAAGACCTAGAAAATGCTATCACAGCTGGTGCCCCCGTCTCAGAGCCACAGCCATGATGTCTCCACTTCCTGCTTCATCTTAGATTTCTCACATCTTGAATGTGCACACAAATCACCTGGGGATCTTGTTAAAAACGCAGCTTCTGTTTCAAAAGACCTGGACTGGAGACTGAGATTCCACATGTCTAGTATGCTCTCAAGTTTATTAATCTGCTACTGGTCCTAGGAACACATTGAGTAGCAAGTGGCAGGATGTGACTCCTGTAGGGAGTGGCCAGGCATATTCTTAGAGATCTGCGTTATAAAGTATGCTTTTCCTTAAAAATAGAAGGAGGAGGAGGAGGAGGAGGAGGAGGGGCAGGTGCAGTGGCTCACGCCTATAATCCCAGCATTTTGGGAGACCAAAGTGGGAAGATCACTTGAGCTCAGGAGTTCAAGACTAGCCTGGGCAACATAGTGAAACCCCATCTCTACAAAAAATTAAAAATTAGCCAGGCGTGGTGGCACACGCCTATAGTCCCGCTACTTGGGAGGCTGAGGTAGAAGGATCACTTGAGCCCAGGAGGTCAAGGCTTCAGTGAGCCATGATCAAGCCACTGCACTCCAGCCTGGAGTGTCTCAAAAAATATATATAAATAAACAAACAAATAAATAAATAAATAGAAAATAAAAGAGAGAGTATCAAAGACCCAATCACCCCTAGACGTCTGGCATCATAGGAATGTGTCCAATCTGCTCTGGGGATAGGAAAGTGGGGGTCCTATCTCCCCCTGTGTAGAGGTTTCAGTAAAAGAAAGGCCTAGGTGTGCAGAAAGCTTTCAGGCAATGCCAGGGAAACTGATCATTGTAATGAATCCAGGGTATTGCTGAGTGAGGGCATCCTGGAGGGCCCGGTGGAAATGTGGTCAGGCTTTTCAACGCACAGGCCCTAGATGATGAGTAATCAGGGTTTCAAATATTTCCATCTCTGTCTCAAGCAGAAAACAAATGGAAAAACTGAACCACCAGAAAAGCAGAGCCAGAGATGGAACAAGAATCCCAGTGTCTGTACCCAACCAAGAGTGTGTTTTTCTTCCACAGAGACCAATGTTCAAAATGGAGGCTTGAGGGCAAAATTCTTTTGCTATGTCTCTAGTCATCCAAAAATATGGTCCTAACTTTTTCTGACTCCCACTTGTCAGAAATTGTGGACTCATAGTTAATGCTAGATGCTTCCTTCCTCTATTTCCTCCCAAATTTCCTGGGAATCCCTGGTCAATACCAGCAGTAAGTTCCACTGTTCTACAGCAACTGGGAAGGACATCAGATGTCATCAGTGGTCATACTGCAACACAGCCCTTTTTCTGTTTAGGAATACAGGTACCCACAACATTTACTAACACTTTTTTTTTCTTATTTATTTTCTAGTTGGCGTTTGGGGGCAAGACGGTGAGATATGCTTTCTTTCTTTTTTATGAAGTCACCCCGTCATTGTTTGTAGTTATGAGTGGAGCTTTCTCTTAGGCCTCCCACAGAACTTCCACGGAGGGCAGGAAAAGGAGTTTCTGCCATCTACACCTTTGACTTTCCTCACAAGTCTGGAGATATTTCTAGCCCAGAAGGGGGAAGCAACAGAGGCAGGAAATAATGAGTTTTAACTATACAGAAGAAAAATTGAGGCTTAAATGAAGTTGAAAGCACGAACAGTTTTCTTTTGTTTGCATCTCATATGTGATGTGAGATTCTGCAGAGGAGATGTAGCCAGAATGCATGCACAGGGTTACTCTGGATAAGCTGCTGGGGCAACATCTGGGTGTATGTTCAGGATCACATGTCTGAATACATGTGTGTACACGTGTGTTTATGCGAGTGCACGTGCATATGAGTGTACCCAGCCTGAACTTACTCTCTCAACCACAGCAGTAGAGTCAGGAGTGTTCCAACATTGGAAGCCCCTCTATTCAATCAGCTCTTCCAAACGGAGTGAACCAATGTTGTATTTAATGGCAACCATGGCTGGACACCGTGGCTCACACCTGTAATCCCAGCACTTTGGGAGGCCGAAGTGGGCAGATCACTTGAGGCCAGGAGTTTGAGACCAGCCTGGCCAACGTGGCGAAACCCTGTCTCTACTAAAAATACCAAAATTAGCCAGACATGGTGGTGCACGCCTGTAGTCCTAGCTACTCGAGAGGCGGAGGCAAGAGAATCGCTTGGACCTGGGAGGCAGAGGTTGTAGTGAGCCAAGGTTGCACCACTGCACTCTAGCCTGGGCAACAGATGGAGACTGTCTCAAAAATAAAAATTAAAGTAAAGGCAACCACTAAGCCAGCCTAGATTCCGCCATGCTGCCTAATTTGTAGTGTCCTTAGGAGCCATTTTTGTTAATAGGCGTCAGATAAGACGTAAGGCCCAAAACAGCTTTTTATATGCAGCCAAGGAAATTGGAAGTTCCATTGTTTCCTAAGGGTTGAGCGAAGAGTCCCAACCCAGGGGAGAAGGGTCTGATCTTCATTGCCAATAGAAACATTACTAATGGCTTCTTACTGTTTCCTTTTCAGGTAGTGAAGAAATAGGTAAGAGGATTTCCACTCTATCTAGCAAAAGTTTTCAAATGTGGAATGAAATGGTCATAGAGTACAATCACCATAACAAACACTGAGAACTAAAACTATTAAAGGGAAAATACAAGTATCTTTCAATGAGATCTGTATGAAACGTGCCTGTATTTGTTGCTAGCTGTCATGTCAGATTATAGCTGTGCATATATGTATCTCTGATCATACACATATGGGAGTGGGTTGGAGCTAACATGTGTTTGTGTATATGTTTTTGAAATCTTTCAAGGCAGACAGAGACAGTGTCTCATTTACCTCGCCCAGTATCTGGCACATAGTAGGTGCTCAATAAATATTTTTTGAATGAATAAATGAACAAACTATGAACACATTGCTAATTACCTCCCCTCAAGAAGCTGATGGTCTTGTGTGAGACACAAATAATTGAAAATATAGTGAGTTGCATGTTATAATATGGGTAGATACAGAGTAAAATGAAGTATAAAGAGGGGAGTGATCAACTCTACTGAGTGTCATTGGGAAAAGTTCCCTGGGGGAGGTGATCCTTGAGCTGAATTTTAAAGGATAAGTTTATGTTTTAGGGAAGAAAAATATTTTATGCAGAAGAGATAAAGCTCTATAGTATGAAGATAAGAGTCTAACTGAGCTAGACCAGAATGTTTGAATCTTGGCTCAACTCTCTACTTGCTGGGTGTGTTTGAGTAATTTACCTAACTTTTCTGTGCCATAGCATCATTATGGGACAATGGAAATAATAGTGCTACCTAACTTGTAGGGTTATTATGAGGACCAAATGAGTAGTTTATTTAAGGCGCTTAGAACATTATCTGACATAAAAGGCAGTAGGTGGGCTGGGCATGGTGGCTCACGCCTGTAATCCCGGCACTTTGGGAAGCCGAGGTGGGAGGATCACCTGAGGTTAGGAGTTCAAGACCGGCCTGGCCAACATGGTGAAACTCCATCTCTACTAAAAATACAAAAATTAGCCAGGTGTGGTGGCAGGTGCCTGTAATCTCAGCTACTCAGGAGGCTGAGGCAAGAGAATTGCTTGAACCTGGGAGGCGGAAGTTGCAGTGAACTGAGATTGCGCCATTGCACTCTAGCCTGAGTGACAGAGCGAGACTCTGTCTCAAAACAAACAAACAAACAAACAAAAAACAGGCAGTAGGTGAATTTTAGCTATTAATACATGAAAAGCACGCTGACTATAGGTGATAAGCATTAAAGTTTACTGAGCACGTATGTTTTAGGCATTGCTCTAAATATTTTACTTGAATATCCTCATTTAATTCTTCTAACACTCCTATTGTACAGTGAAGGAAACAAAGGCTCAAATAAATACAAAAATAAACAAAAATAAATAAACAGTCCAGTCCTAGAGATATAAATGCAGATTTAGGCCAGGTGCCGTGGTTCATGCCTATAATCCCAACACTGGGAGGCCAAGGCAGGAGACTCACTTAAGCTCAGAAGGTTGAGGCTGCATTGAGCCAAGATTGTGCCACTGTACTCCAGCCTCTGTGGCAGAGAAAGACACTGTCTCTGAAAAAATTAATAGAAATTTAAAAATAAAAAAGTTTTAATGCAGATTTATATGATACTGAAGTTCATTTTCTTAACCATTATGAAATACTATCTCTGGATGTGTGTAAAATCTTCGTGAGCACACATATCTTTTTTAAATTTAACTTTCATTTTAAATTCAGGGGTACATGTGCAGGTTTGTTATACAGGTAAACTTGTGTCATAGGGGTTTGTTGTACAGATTATTTCATCACCTAGGCATTAAGCCTAGTACCTATTAGTTATTTTTCCTGATCCTCTCCCTCCTCCCACCCTCCACCTTCTGAGAGGTCCCAGTGTGTGTCATTTCCCTCTGTGTTCATGTGTTCTCATCATTTAGCTCCCACTTCTAAATGAGAACATGTGATATTTGGTTTTCTGTCACTGTGTGTGTTTGCTAAAGATAATGGCCTCCAGTCCCATCCATGTTCCTGGAAAGGACGTGTGTGATCTCATTCTTTTTTATGGCTGCGTAGTATTCCATGGTGTATATGCAGCACATTTTCTTTATCCAGTCTACCATTGACAGGCATTTAGGTTGATTCCATGTCTTTGCTATTGTGGATAGTGCACAATGAACATACGCGGAGCACATTTCTGTCTAAGCATAGACATCTAGACCCTTGTGTGAACATGAGTTAAGTCTAAGCTCTGCTACTGAATTTGTGCCAATAAAAGTTGTGAGCAATTTTCTTTACATTTTTTTCAAACAAACACACCCAGCAAAGTATAATGTCTATGTTCTCTATTGATGATTTCTAGTTCATTTAACATGTCTAAGAAACATCCGTGTTGAAAAATTATTTATAAATTAAAATAATATAAACTATCTACTCTCCTTTTACTCAGCTCCCAATTATAAGCAGGTGGAAAAACCTGGAGAATGATTTGTTTACATTCTGTGCAGTCTTTGTCAGAGGGCTGCCTGAGCAACTGGGTCAGAGTTCAGTTCTGCGCTGGGAGCAGCAGGACCTCAAGAAGGAAAGGAGGAAAGGAAGTAACTTTTTCTTGAGCACCTGCTATGTGTCATCCACTTCCACCTTCATAATCCGTTTAATTTTCACAAAGACCTTGTGAGGTTGGTGTTTTATCTCCATTTCCCTGATAAAGAAGTTGAGGTTCAGCGAAGTTAAATGACTTGCCCTCAGTCACACAGACTAGGGCAGATCTAGGATTCAAACACAGGGCTTCTGATGCTTGAGTCCAGAACTCTGTCCCTAACAGCGGCACCACCGCCTCTCCTCTCCTCCAGCTGTCATGTCCAGGCTGTAACAGAACCCAGTGTTCCAGCCACAAGTTTTCCAGGAAATCAGAAAGGACTCCTAGCTCCACCTCCCAGGGCAAAAATGGCTGCTGTGGGAAACGTGGCTGGACCTGCGAATGGCATTAGTGGTTTATTAGTTGATTTCAGTTGTCCACCCTGATAGGCCTCCCTCTAACAAAAATAATTGAGAGCTGATTATGCTCAGATACAAAGTAAAGTGAAACCACTTTTTATTGGAAGAACCATTCACTCAAAATGTGTAGAGTATTTCACGTTATTTAAAGGCAAACAGAGAGAAAGTTATATGGAATAAGAATAAAGGTGTTTCTTCTCTATTATGAGGGACTCAGTTCTGAGAAAGAATTTCTGAATTTAAGAAACAGGTAAGTCCACGAATCAGTGATTCAGTGGAGAGATTTATTTCTGAGAAAGCCAGTAGCGCTCCCTTCTGACAAGCAAATCTAAGGCCTGGTGACAGATGACTTCCTGCATTTGGGTGGTTCATTTGTCATTCATACCTACCTGTAATACAGTTCTGGCTAATGTAAGAGGATAAGCTTGAAGATCTCTGGAATTTGTGGCTTTAGGACTTTAAGGCTTTCTGAGCTTCAGTAGATCTGGATCTAGGAGCACACGCTGGTATATTCTGAATGCGATGTATCTGATTTACATCTATGAGCTATTTAATAAATGTATCTACGAGCTAAATCTCACAGGCTAAGCATGAACCTCACCTCCAAGACTCAGGGCTCCTAAGTGGATGAGACCCTCTTTGGGAAGTCTTGTGGGCAGTGTCTAATTCCACTAGAAAACTTTTACCTACAATTTAAACTTAAACCAAGATATTTTCTTACTGCTGTTTCCTTTTTTCATTTTCAGGTAGTATTACACAGACACGTGAGTTTATTGGTCTTTTATTTATGCCCTGTCTGAGGATGCAGATTGGTGGGTAGACGAGAAGGAACTGATTGAGAGAGATTAACCCCAAGAATCTTCCCAGCATTGCATTCTCAACCCCGTTTTAGAAAGGTTCCAAATAGGGACTTTTATGGGTTTTTCTTTACATCCATCTTACCCTTCCCAAGTCCCCATGTCCCTGCGTAAACCCTAAAGCCACCTCTCAAAAGGTTCTCTAGTTCCCTTCAGGTTCTCCAGTTCCCTTCATTCCACCTATCTCCTCTTCCACATCCTCCAGCCAGTAGAGCCCCCTTTTGACAAGCAAATCTAAGACCTAGATGACAGATGACTTCCTGCATTTGGGTGGTTCTTTTGTCACTAATTTGCCTTTTCTAAAAGTTGTCCTGGTTTCTTCCATCAATTTCCCTTCTTTCTCCCCAGCATATAAAGTCTCCATCTCTGGAACCACAGTAATACTGACATGCTCTCAGCATCTTGGATCTGAAATACAATGGCAACACAATGGTAAAAACAAAGATTCTGGGGATCAGCTGTTTCTGCCGGAATTTTCAGAAATGGAGCAAAGTGGTTATTATGTCTGCTACCCCAGAGGAAGCAATCCAGAGGACGCGAGCCATCATCTCTACCTGAAGGCAAGAGGTAATCCAGGTCTCCAGAGCAGGCACCACTGGCTCTTTAGGGAGGACCATTCAAAAGGGCATTCTCAATGATTTCCCCTAACCCAGCTCACAGTGCCCTGGTGTCTTTGTGCTTCCTCCCACACTCAGTCCCGGGACTATCTGGTACCACACAGCATCAGTGTTTTCTGGAATATAGCTTAAACACCAATATGAGGCTTTGGGGTAACCCCAGTCTGTGCAAGATCTAAAATAGCAACTCCCTAAGAGACAGGACTGGGTCATTTGCACTGCATCACACCCAGGTTCATGGCACACCAACATGAGTTTATCTAATGCTTCCTCCAGAGATAAATTTTTCAGAAAGATTTGCAAAAAAGACTCAAGTCCACTCTGATAAAATGGCATAAGCTAAGGTATAATAATAAAGTAATAACAATAGCTAACATTTATTGAGTGCTTATTAAGTATCACTCAAGCACTGTCTGTATCCAACACTTATCAAGGATTTTTTTTCATATAATCCTCTCAACAACCATATGGGTTAAATACCATTTTATTCCCATGAGTAAAGGGATGAGGAAACAGAGCGTCTGTGAATTGAAAACACACTTCACACTTCTCACAGCTAGTGAGTAATAAAACAGGTACTCAAACCCAGGGCTGTTTGACTCCAGTGCCTCTACCCACAGCCACCACTCTTTGCTTGTCGATGTTGTTCAGGACATATTGAAGGGGGGGCTCTGGCCATGGCAAGTGTGTGAGTAATAAGGGGAGAATGGCCTTCATGCGCTCCTCCTCACCTCCAGCGCCTTGTGTTTTCCTTGCTTAGTGATTTCCCCTCTCCCCACCCCGTCCCTGACAGTGTGTGAGAACTGCATGGAGATGGATGTGATGGCGGTGGCCACAATTGTCATAGTGGACATCTGCATCACTCTGGGCTTGCTGCTGCTGGTTTACTACTGGAGCAAGAATAGAAAGGCCAAGTCCAAGCCTGTGACACGAGGAGCAGGTGCTGGTGGCAGGCAAAGGGGTAAGGCTGTGGAGTCCGGTCAGATGAGATTCCTGCCAAGGGGGACGACCAGACTGGGCCAGGGTAGGTGGCAAGTCCACAGCTAGGTCAGAACAGCTTCTCTAGAGCTTCTATGCACAGCTTCTACTACTGTGATGACAAGATCTCAACAGAGGGTTTCAAATCTCATGTCAGTCCCCTCCTTCCATCCTGTAAAAGTGCAAAAATGTTTATGAACGTGACGGGCTTCCTCACATGCCTGTCGATGCCTGCAGCCATCCGATTCTGTCCCTAAGCTGTGGGAAGAGAGACTTTGATATATTAGCTCCTGCTTTTCCTTTCCCTTCCCCGTATAGAGAAACAATAGGAGGACCTTGAGCTGAGGAAAGTCACAAAATGATGAGAAGAGCGTAGGGTCCTCAGAGATGAATGAAAGAAAAAAAAAGAGAAAGAACGTAAAAGGAAAGTGGTCGAGGAGAGAACAACAGGGTTTGCCATTCTCTATCTGGGTCTCACTGGCACAGACAGTGCTGCAAGATTGGTTCCCTCATGGGAATGAAACGTTTCCCCTCCTTCCTCTGCAGGACAAAACAAGGAGAGGCCACCACCTGTTCCCAACCCAGACTATGAGGTAACGGGGGATAGAAATGGGCCAGGAGGCTGGGAGGGATGCCCCTCCGGGGGGGGAAGGGAACAGATGGGATGGCCCATCTTGTCTGCCAGATGCTTCAAAGCCCCTCACTCAGGGCTTCCATGACGACCCTCTGTGTGCTACCTCTGCCTCCTTCATGGTAAAACAGGACTGTCTCAAAGGCTGCATGGCTTCCACAACCATGGAGAGGAGGAAGCTTGCGAGAGACATACTCCTCTTTCTCTGGCTTCTTCATTATCTGGGATACAGCCATGGAGAATATCATATGTGCAGATTCTAACACAATAAATTCAAGGCTGATATTCCACCAGCATGCACCAGTATAGCCATACGAGTTATTGAGATATTAAAATTATATAAATATTATATAAAAGCTATTGAAATATTAAAATACTTCATTGGAAAATGGCCCCAAACTTTGCTCACCCCAACCCACCCTTACACACACACACACACGGCCAGGCATCCCAGTCTCTCCCCGACCAGGCTGTCTCTTGAGTTGGGGTAACTGAAGAGTTAATGCCTGGCATGGCAGAGGATCACCAGGATTGTTCTTGTTGATTGGTATGTGTGCACTACTAGTTGTTAAATATTTTCACTCTCACACCTGGATATACTCAACAAATATTTGTTGAGCACCAGCCAAGCATGTAGTATTTACTTTAGTATAAGTGAATTATTTAGCCCTGACAGAAGCCCTGGAAGGTGGGTCTTTAAGTTCCTATTTTTGAGATGGGAAAGTTGAGGCTCACGGAAGGAGGTGACCAGTTGAAGTCTCCTACCATCCGAGCCAAATTAGAATTCCAGCCTGCCTCCTGACTTCAAGTCCAAAGCTCTCTCCATGCACTAAAGCTAGATCTTCAGCGTTCTTTCTTAGGAGGTACTTCCTCCCGCACCACTGACCACCTCCTCTCTACTTCACTCCCAGCCCATCCGGAAAGGCCAGCAGGATCTGTATTCTGGCCTGAATCAGAGACGCATCTGACCCTCTGGAGAACACTGCCTCCCTCTGGCCCAGGTCTGTCTCCTCTCCAGTCCCCCTGCGACTCCCTGTTTCCTGGGCTAGTCTTGGACCCCACGAGAGCATCGTTCCTCGGCCTCATGGCGAACTCACGCCCTCCAGCCTGATCCCCAGCTCCCTCCTTCCTGCCTTCTCTGCTGGTACCCAGTCCTAAGACATTGCTGCTGCTTCTTCCTTTGAAGCATTATCAGTAGTCACATCCTCACAGCTGGCCTGCCCTCTTGCCAGGATATTTATTTCTGCTATTCATTCCCTTCCCCTTGGATGTAACTTCTCCATTCAGTTCCCTTTTCTTCTTGCATGTAAGTTGTCCCCCATCCCAAAGTATTCCATCTACTTTTCTATCTCCATCCCCTTTTGCAACCCTCTCTGGGGATGGACTGGGTAAATGTTGACAGAGGCCCTGCCCCGTTCACAGATCCTGGCTCTGAGCCAGCCCTGTGCTCCTCCCTCTCCCCAACACTCCCCACCAACCCCGCAACCCCCTAGCCCTCCACACCCGCACCCCCCCACTCACACCCCCACACTCCCCCCTCACCCCCCCCATCTCCACTGTAGGCCACTGGATGGTCATTTGCATCTCCCTAAATGTGCTCGGCTCCTCTCAGCTGAGAGAGAAAAAATAAATTGTGTTTGGCTGAAAGAGTTGCTGTCCCTCTTTTCTGAGAAGCCCTGAGAGGCTGCCTTAATTCCCAAGACCATTCAGGTTCTCACTACCTTTGACTAAATTCTCGGCTATGACCCCAGATGCAAACACTCTCTGTTTCCACAGCTGCTAGGGCCATTACCTGAAGCTCTCTTTAGAGAGGGCATAAGGAAATAAGAAAAAAGAAAAAAAGCCCGGGCGCTGTGGCTCGCGCCTGTAATCCCAGCATTTTGGGAGGCCGAGGCAGGCGGATCACGAGATCAGGAGACGGAGACCATCCCCATCCTGGCTAACATGGTGAAACCCCGTCTCTACTAAAAATACAAAAAATTAGCCAGGCGTGGTGGCGGGTGCCTGTGGTCTCAGCTACTCGGGAGGCTGAGGCAGGAGAATGGCGTGAACCCAGGAGTGAGCTGAGATCACGCCACTGCACTCCAGCCTGGGCGACAGAGCGAGACTCCATCTCAAAAACAAAGAAAAAAAGAAAAAAGAAAGAAGGGTAGAGGGAGGGGATAGAAAAGAAAGAGAGAGAAAGAAAAATAAAAGGAAAGGGAAAGAAGGGAGGGATTGAGGAAGGGAAGAAAGAAAGAGGATGGGAGGGAGAGAAAGAAAGAAAGTTTCACCAACTTCTCTCGGAGGAAGACATCAAAGGTGGCAGAGAATGACTGATGGGTCCCTGATGGAGTGGTTGGTAGAAAATGGGCAAGACAGAAACAGGCCTTGAAAAACAGATGAAGTTACGGAAGAAGACAGTGGCGGTGGAAGCCCGGCTTGGGGATGGGACACAGATTTCCACAAGCTGCCAGGAAAAGCTGCAGAGCCAGGGCTGGGGAAGTGAAGGAGGGAGGTGTCTCAAGCAGGCCCACCCCCACCCCAAGGCAGCCGCCTGCAGCCAGAAGCGGGCTGTGGTTAAGCAGTGCAGGATGTGGGCTGCACTGCTAAGCGTGGCTCCTGGGAGTGAGGGTGGGAGAGGTACAGTGGCAGCTGGGTGGAGGCCAGTGTGGGAGCGCTTTGTTCTCAGTCTCACACCACACACTCTGCTTGCAGAGAGAGGAGGCCAGAGCATCCAGGAACTGTCCTACTCCAGCTCAAACCAGCGGGCTCTATTCTCTCCCTCTCTGCACTCAGAAATTTCCCTGCTGACAGCAGGGCTATTTATAAGTGTGACCACCACTAAAAAGGCTGTTTGTGACCAGCGGCCTCCACATACTGTTCCCCCTCAGTATGGGGGAACATAGCTACAGCTATGGGCTGTAGCTACAGCTTCTATTTGTTTTTGGTCCCTGTTGAAGAGTCACTTCCTTCACTCTAAGCATCAACACTTAGGCTCAGAAGACGCCTCCGTGATGTTGTCCATCACTAGCTGCTGATCAGCAGGCTGGCCCAGGGATGGCGGTTTTGTCCCAAGTATACTTGATTGTGCCCTGTCAAGGGGAGGCATGGCTCAGTGTAATACAGGCAATCACAGCTAACATGTATTGAGCATTTACTCAATACAGGCTTCAGAAATTGTACTTAGCACTTTACCTGCATTATCTCATTTAATCTTTATGTTGACACAGCAAGTTAGATGTCAGCCTCACTTTACAGACGAGGATACTGAGGCTCTGAGAGGTCAAGTCATTGCCCAAGTCACAGATGGGGTGGGGCAGAGCTGGAACTAGCAGCCAATTCTAATGGTCAGAGCATCTACTCATTACTGACTGTGATCATAAAGAATGCTCCCCATTGTCACACACTGGGGCCTGTCAGGGGCATAGGGGGCAAGGGAAGGAAGAGCATTAGGACAAATACCCAATGCATGAGGGGCTTAAAACCTAGATGATGGGTTGATAGGTGCAGCAGATCACCATGGCGCATGTATATCTATGTAACAAACCTGCACTTTCTGCACATGCATCCCAGAACTTAAAGTAAAATTTAAAAATAAAAATTTTAAAAAAGAATGTGTTGGGCACGGTGGCTCACGCCTGTAATCCCAACACTTTGGGAGGCCAGGGCAGGCGGATCACGAGATCAGGAGTTCGAGACCAGCTGGCCAACATAGTGAAACCCTGTCTCTACTAAAAATACAAAAAATTAGCCAGGCGTGGTGGTGGGTGCCTATAATCCCAACTATTTGGGAGGCTGAGGCAGGAGAATCACTTGAACCCAGGAGGCAGAAGTTACAGTGAGCGCAGATCGTGCCATTGCACTCCAGCCCAGGCGACAGTGCAAGACTCTGTCTCAAAAAAAAAAAAAAGAAAAAAAAAGAATGTTTCTCATTGTCCTGACTTAAAAGCTCTGTATTTAATTGTTTATGCATTCCTTCAATTAGTGCTTTTCTAATCACTCATATGGCTATCAGCACTATGCTAACTACTAGGAGGATATCAATAAACAGTTCCTGTCTTCAAGGAGCTTGCAATTATATAAGAGTGGTCAAGCGTGCAAAAAGTTAAACAGCAACACAAGAACAGATGATGCGATTAATCACATATGCGTGTTACAGTGTTGCAGGTGTTCAGAGGCAGAGAAAGTTCCATGGAGGAAAGACTTTATCTAAACCTTGAAAGGAAGGGCAAATAGAACTTGGAGATAAAGAAGGCACTCCAGGCTGGGCATGGTGGCTCACACCTGTAATCCCAGCACTTTGGGAGTCCAAGGCAGGTGGATCATGAGGTCAGGAGTTCAAGACCAGCCTGATCAACATAGTGAAACCTCATGTCTACTAAAAATACAAAAATTGGCCGGGCATGGTGGCATGTGCTTGTAGTCCCAATTACTCATCTCTCCCACAGTAAGATAAGCTCTCCCTTGACCCTGCGTGCCTCCTGCCCAGATACTTCCCTTTCTCTCTCTGCCTTTTTAAGCCCCAAAGAGAAGTCTACTAGGCCAACTTCCTCATTTCCCTCCGATCCTCAACCCTCTACAGTCAAGCTTCCTCCTCTACCACTCTAGAAACTCTCAAAACATCACAGCACCCTCCTTCTTGTCAAATCAAAGAAGCATTCCATGAGCCTTTCACGAGCAGACCTCTCAGAGGTATGTGAAAGATTGGCCGCTCACTTCCTTGGCTTCCATGACATCATCTGCCCCTCCTTACCTCTCTTGAAATTCCTCCTCCATCTGCTCCTTAAACATTGGTGTTCCTGAAAGTTCTGTTCTCATTCCAATACCCTTCACCCTTCACCTATTTTTCTTACTTTCCCATATCTCTATCCCCAGACCTGACCAGATCAGATATCCTCCTAGGCTTTAGACGTATTCTGGACGTATTCATTTGGGAGCCCACAAACTTCACAGACATTTCAAATTCAAGATGTTCAAAACTGAAGTCACCATTCCACCGCCTACCCACCCCCAATCCCTCAAATAATCTCCTCCACCTGCATGTCCATCCCCAGCGAAGGGTACCACCATCTACACAGTGCTGCTGGATCAGAAACCCTGGAATTGGCCTGGATGCCTCCTGCACCCTCATTTTCCACATCCAATTAGTCACCAAATGGAACTCCCTAAATAGCTCTTCAAACTGATTTCTCTCTATTTCTGCCTCCATAATTATGTGTGCCATATCACTTCCTGCTTGAAGCTCTTCAAGGATGCGTAACCTCATACAGGAAGAAGCCCATACCCCCTACTTAGCCTTACACTCCAGGTCTTCTACTTTTGGATCCTTACCACCTCTCCCTTATTGCTAACACTCTGCAACTTGAATTTCATGCTCTAGTAAAACTAAACCTCTTGAAATTCTCCCTGCTCTCCACCTCCGTGTCTTTGCCCATGCTTCCTTCTCTGCCTGGACTATTCTTTCCTTGCCTCACTTTTCTTTTTTCTTTTTCTTTTTCTTTTCTTTTCTTTTTTTTTTTAATTAAGCAGAATTTATTTGAGCAAAGAAAATTTATGAATCGGGCATCACCCTGAACCGGTAGAGGTTCAGAGTGCTTCACCCAGCAACATGGGCAGGCCAAATTTATTGGAAGTAATACACACAAACAGTTTGATGGGGTACAGCTCAGCATTTGCCTTATATGGACATGGTCTGATCAGTTGGCAGCCTGTGACTGGTTAAAGCACAGCAGCTGTGACTTGCTGAGATTCAGCTATTTGTTACAAGAATATGGTCTCAGTTGGGAGGCAGTTTACTTAAATACTAAGTTGGGTTGCAGTTCAACAGATACACCAGCAGCTTTGGGCCAAATTTAATTTAAACATTTCTGCCTTTTGGTCAGCATCTCAATTTTGAGAGATTGACCAAAACTTTGGCCCCTGACCCCATTTTCCGTCACCCTCATAATGGACTTGTTTTGTTTCAATACTGAACTCACAATTCACAACTTCACCTTAGTTGGATGATTCTTTGTGCTGCTTTCTTCATGTTTTTGTTATTCTAACCCTAATAGACCAGTTGATGTATAAAGAATGACTGCATAGGAGCACTTAAGACTTCCCAGGGGAAGCAACACATCAGAGAGACTGTTATTGTTATTATTATTTTTTATTATTTTTAAGATGGAGTCTCGCTCTATCACCCAGGCTGGAGTGCAGTGGCACAATCTTGGCTCCCTGCAACCTCCACCTCCTGGGTTCAAGCAATTCTCCTGCCTCAACCTCCTAAGTAGCTGGGATTACAGGCACTCACCACCACAACTGGCTAATTTTTGTATTTTTAGTAGAGTTGGGGTTTCACCATGTTGGCCAGTCTGGTCTTGAACTCTTGTTCTCAAGTGATCTGCCTGCCTCAGCCTCCCAAAGTGCTGGAATTACAGGTGTGAGCCACCACGCCCAGCCAGGGGGACTATTATGATGACTATGAGTGGACAATGCCAAGAAACTGAAGTACCCTCCTTATCAGGAGTTTCCACAAACAACTAGTCAAAATCAACAACTCAAAGTCCGTGCAATAAAGATAGTTCAATAGCATTTGAGTCCAGCTGGTCAGTCTTGGTTCAGGAGATGATGGTGATTAGGGCCACAGTTCACTACAAAAAGACCTGATTTAAACTCACCTCATTAA